ACTTCATACTCCCTAAGATGGTTTCTTTTTTTTATATATATATCTAATGCAACCCTTCAGCTAAATAATAACAGACCCTAAACTTCATCTAAAAAATCGGCAAATAATTATTTTGGATAGCAAGAAAACAAATTAATGGGGAAAAACAAGTGAAATCATGTTGGTGGCAAGGTTGAAGATCAATTGCAGATAAACCAAGAAAGAAACAATAAAAAGGGCAATCAAGCAATTCACAAAAGAGAGGAAGAAAGAACAAAACATAACAGAAGAAAACGTAGAAAGAGAAAAAAAGGAAAATTATGAACAATGCACACCTGAAGAAGAGGAAAAATCAAGACTTTATTCTCTTGAAGTCCAAACACAAGTTTGTGTGTTTCCTCTTTCTCTTTCTCTCAACTCCCGGATCTCCCTTCCTCCAATTTCCTCCTCCCCCTTTTCAAAGCCGAAGGCCCCCCCTTTTTACAAACAAAAGGAAAACCCAATCCTAATGTGCTTCTAATACTCAAATCCCAATCCCTAAGATAACAACTCAACCCTATATGGAATGGGATTTCTTAGTTTTTCCCACATCTACCCATTTTCTAGTCTAGATTCATACCTTCTATGCTTAGAACTCCCTTCTTTGAATCAATTTCGAACTCTTCTTCTACACCTCTTGTTGATGATTTTCAATCTTCATAAATTTCTTCAAAACTTGAGTAGATTTAGGGATAAGTTAAGAAAATTTTTGTGATTTTTCTGTTTTGAGAAAGGCTGGCGACAAAGCAAAGAAAGAAACGAGTTTGGGTGGCTAGGGTTTTCAACGTTTATTTCAGCTTACAAGCAAAACGACGTCGTTTGCTAGTTTCTCCTCTCAACCCTTCAAGCTTCACACTTTTTGCAAAAAATGGTCTGTGAGCTTTTACTTTTATCACTTAGCCCTAATTAAAATTGGGTTACGACAATGGCCTAAACCATAACCAAAAAAAAAATACAAAATACAAAATATATATGCATAACCTATTTGGATATAACACAAAAATAGATAAGAAATGGTGATATCAGTGAACCCTTACTTACCACTACTTGATCTATTACTTGTGAAAAAGAAAAAAGTTGAATTTCTCGTTGCTTGCCTCGCTGGAAAAAATGAAGAAAAGGAACTGTAGCTGGAAGAGAAAACTGAAAATGAGAAAAGGCAAGGGGGTTCAACAGAAATGAGAGGCAAGGGAGGGTGTTCGAGGATTATGGTTCCACTTAAGGACGAGATTAAAGTTAGCGACGGGAGACGAGGTGCAACAGCTTTGTAGCAGGCCTTGTAGTCTCATCGACATGATTCACTTTGGAATCTTTTACTGACAAGCCTCACATCTCTAATGGTATGTTTGACTGCACAATTGACCAAATGTACCAAGGTGATAGTTATTTGCAAATGGTTAAACCCCCATTTTGGTCTCTCAACTATTGTATAGATTCCCGATTTAGTCCCTCAACTCAAAAAATCTTTAATTTGGTCCCTACTGCTTATCATTTTGACCCCAATTTAGTCCTTCCGTTAAATTTTTTGCTGAGGTAGCCTATTAAATGACGGAATGAAAGTGACATGTCCAAATATTTAATGCATAAATTGACAACAAGAATAAATAAATGATGTGGTTAAAAACCCAACCACCTAATCAAACAAATATAATCATTCAATCCATCAAATTTACAATTTTACCCTCATCTTCTTCCTCAACATCCTCCCTTTCAAATCTTCTTCATTCACTCTAAGTCAAACATTCAATTCAATAAGATCAATTAATTCATCATCATCATCAAACAAAATTGCCTCATTCGACACTTGCCAGGTTCGATCTTAAAAAAAAAAAAAAAAAAAAAAAAAAAAGCTCCTAGGTTCGAAACAACCCAATGGTTCTGTTGGGTTCCCGAACCTAACGAATCTACTAGGTTCAATACCCAACAGATGCGCTTGTCCTCATCTTCTTCCTCAGCATCCTTCTACTCAAATCTTCTCCATTCATTCTAAATCAAACATTCAATTCAATGAGATCAATAAGTTCATCATCATCATCAAACAAAATTGCCTCATCCGAGGCTGAACCCAACAACTTTGCTAGGTTCGATCTTACCAAAAAAAGAAAAAAAGCTGCTGGGTTCCTGAACCTAGTGAATCTGCTAGGTTCAATACCCAACAGATGTGTTGGTCCTCATCTTCTTCCTCAACATCCTCCCTCTTAAATCTTCTTCATTCATTCTAAACCAAACATTCAATTCAATGAGATCAATTAATTCATCATCATCATCATCAAACAAAATTACCAAAAAAAAAAAAAAGAAAAAGAAAAAAAGCTACTGGGTTCGATCAAGCTAGCAAATCTGCTGGGTTTGATCGAGCTCAACGAATCTACTGGGTGATCGAACCCAACGCATCTACTGGGTATTGAACCCAGCAGATTTGCTCGGTTCGATTGAGCCTAGCAAATCTGTTCGGTTCTCAAACTCGACAGCTCTATGAGGTTCTCAAACCCAACAATGGTAGAGGTTGAAAAGGAAAGTATAAGGGTTTGTAGAAGGCAAAGGAAAGGAAAAGGAAACATAACCCAGTTCGGGAAGGGAGAGAGAAATAAGGATTTAGATTTTAGAGGTTGAAGATAAGGATAATATAATCATTTTATTATGGTTAAAGATTACTTGGATAATTTTTTTGCCATGTCATATATTTGGACATGGTGTAAATTCCACATATTTTATATATTAAAAAGATGTGCCCCTGCTCGTTAGTTAATAGGCCACTTCAGTAAAAATTTAACAGAAGGACCAAATTGAGGTCAAAATGGTAAACAGTAGGAACTAAATCAGGGATTTTTTGAGTTAAGGGACTAAATCAAGAGTCTATACAATAGTTGAGGGACCAAAATGGAGGTTTAACCTTTGCAAAATTTACCAACGAGTTTCACATCTCCAAATGGATAGCATTTGACCGGTTCAATTTCAGACGATTTTAGCTCACTGACGTGGAGTTGGTTGTTCATAATTTATAGATGAGATTCACATCTTAAAGTAGATATTGGAACATTTTCAAACTAGTACTTATCAGTGTAATTTCACCGACAAAATTATTATGTGAAAATTAAATAATATAAATTAATACTATTTTTACTATTTTATTATGTACATACATTGTTCTTGTTGGTAAAGAGGTTAATTACCTAGAAAACTTATCACGTCGGCGATATTTAGTCACTAATTAAAGATCTTTTAGTAGTGCATTTGTTATAAGAGTATATTCATTGTATTTTTTAAAAACTAATTTATATTAAAAAACGAAAAGTTAATTTTAATTTTATAAACCATCTAATATACAAAAAATATCTATATGAAATTATTGATAAAATAAGGTCAACATTTGTTATTTTCTATAAAAATTAAATTTAAAATAATATAATTAATACATCTTTAAATGGCATGCTAAATAAACCTTGATATTAATTTAAACTCTTAAATAGTAGTATCTATTCATTTAGATGCATTAAATGCATTGTAGTCTACTTAAATTTGAAAAGCACACTGATCCGTTCATTTAAGACGTTGTATCACTTATTTTTTAAAAAGTTATTAGTTTTTTTATATAAAATTAAAGGAAGGCAAAATTAAAGATGCAACAATGTATAATGTAAGAATCAACAACATAAGTTATATTTGTATTATATTTAATAGTTGAATCGGGGTAAATGTTAAAAAGTATATCAAACTAGAAAATATATCAATAAATTTTCATTTGAAAAACTAATGATTATTAAAGTGGAGTATTGAATAAAAAGTCAATTATAGCTCTAATATTTCTATTTTATTTTTATTTAAAAAATATAATTGCAACAAATTTAAAATAAATATGTGCTTTAAATGTACTTTTTATGTCTTAAAATCATAATTATTTTTAATTTTTTTTAGAAATTATGTATTTATAAACAATTTATGAATATTTATTGCTATTACCATTAATTAAAAAATAAAAACAAAGTGAAGATTTTGATAGGCAAAACCCTCAAATTTACTCTCAAAAAGAAAATATTGGTAGGGACACATCCATCCCTCAAAAAAAAGCAAGGACAAATTGCCCATCCAAATCATAAATCAATACAAATCATCCCTTTTTTAACGAAAAACGTCAAAATTCTATTTGCCACATTAACATTTTTTAATGGAAAACATTAAAAAATGGGTAATTTGTATTGATTTCTGATTTGGTGGGGCAATTTGTCCTTGCTTTTTTTTTAGGGGTGGATGTATCCCTACAAATATTTTTTTGAGGGTAGATTTGAGGGTTCTGCCATTTTGATAATAGGTGAATAATTAAATTAAAGATGTGACAATGCATGCATAATGTAAAAATGAACTGAATCAGTTATATTTATATTATATTTTAATAATTGAATTAAATGGATGTTAAAAAGTATATCAAATTAGAAAATGTATCAATCATTTTTCATTTGAAAAACTAATGATTACTAAAGTGGAGTATTGAATAAAAAGTAAATTATAGCTCTAATATTTCTATTTTATTTTTTTATCAGCAAATTAAAATAAGTTATTAATAGGAGTATAAGGGTACTCCAACCCATTTACAAAATAAAAGGCTAGACCATCATAATAAAATCTAGCAACAATCACAAATATTTATTACAAAGATGCACCAGCAAAACCCACCAAGCCCCCATTGCCGATCATACAGGCCCCGGTTTCTGCTTCAAATACCTATTTACTTCCTTTTTATGCCTTCTCACCTCCAATGCACAAGCAACTGGGTTAACCATCCATTCATAAAAAGAGAACATAAAACTAGTAACCTTAGCTTTAATCCAAGAGAAAGACTTGATTTTAATCATATCCAACAATTTCTCCTTAAAGATCCCATTATTTTTAAACACATAAGCATTTCTCTAATACCACAAATACCAAGAAACAATTGGAAACATACAAGCACCCATCTCCTTCCCAACTAACTTACCAAAGCTAGACCAGAAAAATTCTCCTGTACCTCCCACTGAATTCGACAACACAAATTCCACCCCCCACAAATGTAGTGCCTTTGCCCAAATTAACCAAACTTCCTTACACGTACAAAATAAATGATTTACTTTCTCCAATACCTCATTGCAAAAGCTACACATTAAACTCCCCTCTTGCATAACTACCCCTCTTTTGTATAGGTTCCCTTTTGTTTAGGTTCCCTTTTGTTTAAAAAATATAATTGCAACAAATTTAAAATAAATATGTTCTTTAAATGTACTTTTTATGTCTTAAAATAATTATTATTTTTAATTCTTTTACAAATTATGTATTTATAAACAATTTACGAATATTTATCACTATTACCATTAATAAAAAAATAAAAATAAAGTGAAGATTTTGATAATAGGTGAATAATTAAATTAAAGAAATAATAATAGGATTAGAGTAGGGGAAAATATTTTTCTACCTTAAAAAACAAAAAACAAGAATTAATTTAGTATGAATTTTAAGTAAAAAAATGACAATTACTTTGAAGTAAAAGAAGTCATAACTAGTAATTACTCACTCCATTCAACTTTAGTTATCTTGGTTTAACTTTTTGACCTTTTAAGTATTGTATTAATTTTAGATGAAAATTTAACAAAATATATGAATGATAATTAAAATTTTTTTAAACTATATGTAGTTCTTATTAAGTAGTCTCATTTAAAAAAATTCAATTTTCATTTATATATTTTGTTAAAATT